AACTATCAACCACTTAATCTCAGTATGTAGGGGAGTTGGTGTGGCCAAATCACCCAAGGTGAGTCCGAGTTGATGGCTTAATTACACCAGAATCCTCTGATTGGTGGTTAAAAACCCTGATTAAAACCTTACTTTGGCGGCAAATGCCCACTCATCCTTTTTTTCTGATTTCATGCCTTTGTGTACTGAGAAAATCAACTTTAGTCAAGGAATCTCTAACTATCTCCCCTTTAGGCTTTGTGTTTTGTTTTTAAAGCCGGACTCAATCAATAGTCAAGCGATGTGACGCTGGTTCGTGTTACCAACAAATAAATATTCCTTAATCTGTCACGTATAGGGGTTTGAGTCCCTATATCCTTATATGTGTGTTTTCAAAATAATGTTGAGACTATATTAGAGGAGCATAAACTACATCTAAACGACTGACTGAGTTTAGTTTTACGCCGCTTTTAGCAATATTCCAGCAATATCACGGCGGGTACATCTAAACGAGGATAGGTATAGTTGAAATAACAGGCATACCTGCATTATTCATTTTAGCCACATATCTGCTGGTCAGCTGCTCGGGGCTAGTCTTTCGAACGAGCAAGGCAATATTGACATATTTATCACAACAGATGTAAAGTCATACACAAAGTGACAAAGTTACATGACCTACCAGAGAGTACATGTATCACACATAACAAGCCCGACACTGTCAAGCCGTTGTCGAAGTGAGTGAGTATGTTTTTACAGAATCAAACCTGGGTCTACCACATGAAGAGGAAACACTTTCAAACACTAGACAACCCCATCGCCCTACCCATTCCTAGTAAGTGAATTGGTATGACTCATCTTAAAAAGTCATCAATCAAATATAAGACAAAATATCATGGATGTCAACTTCTTCTTTATTGCATACACGTTTCTGGGCTTTTCCTTGCCCCTTGACGAAAAGCACAGAAACCTTGTGTATACAATAACGAAGAAGTTGACATCCATAATATTTTGTCTTACACTTGAATACCAACTTCTATATACCTCTCAAGAACCTCATCAATCAAAGATGCTTAAACTTCATGAAACTGAAATATTGTTTCTCAACTAGAGTGTTACGCTTGAGAGAGGTCATGGTGCACTCTTGATCCGATGCTGTTTTGTTTCTCATGGATCGTTATCGATCTCTTTTAACAAAGACCCTGAACTTGATGCAGTTCGTTGAATCGCATCTGCGTCTTTTGCAACGACAGTAAAATATCCATAAAGATTAACAATAGAGTTAGAATATCTAATGTAGCAGAACTCCAAGCTGTCAGAAAATAAGTCTAAACGTGGATAACGATGCTGAAGTCGTGTCTCTGTATTGGGTTTAAAGCGATGAGGAACATTCCTCAGTTATCTCCCTTTACCACTTCGCATTATTTTTCGACCAGATACGCTAGGTTTTCGTGCTTTGCGCACGGAATTCAGTCAGGGCAACTTCCAGTTTCTGTAATTCGGAATATAAGAATTACTCATAGAATAAATATCGTTTTAAGTTTCGTCTTGACAGACTAGCCTATATTCCAGTATCAGAGTGACGGCTACTATAGGAAATGCCAGATGTTTACGGAAGTGACGTCACGAGGCTAGGTTGCGCGCGCACCGGTAGGCAGAAGGACCGTAACTACCGCAGCGCTCCAGGCGGGCAAGGGGCGCTACTCCAGGAATGTTCCACATTGTGAATAGTGCGTTTGTTGTTTAACACCGCACTCAGCAATGTGTTAGCTATATCACGATGGTCTGTGAATATTACGTCTGGACAAGACATTTCAATGATTGACATCATGTGCATCGATCAAGTCATTTGGGTAAGCAAACATGACCAGCCTCTCAGTCGCTACTTACGACAAGCATGGGTTGCTCAATATGAGAGCTCAATATTCTAACCCGGATATTGTCCATTGTGAACAATATTTCAGACTAAAATATATGACATTCTTAAATTATTGTTTGAAGGAAATCATCTGCCTGTCGTAGACTGGTGAAACCAATCTCTGATTTGAACCAATGGTCACGGGTCAGCTAAGGGACTCCAAACTCCTATACTGGCGAATTGAGTACTTTACATCGATATTTAACTGGTAAATTGTCAATGTACAACTCAAGCAGACAACTATTTCCCATGACAACGGATTTTACTGTTGCAAATGTGTCAAGAATGCTCAAACAATAACACAAACACCAAGCCTATGCCCAGGGCAGATTTCTCCAAATAAAAGAATACTTAATGATATATTCCTATTCTATATCTGAAAACGACTAGAAGTATACTTCTAACAAGAAAATTACCAAATCGATAACATGGTTTCTTAACGATTAATTATTTTGTAGGTAAACATGAGCTTGCACTCTTTATTTATTCGTATTACCACAGAGAATGCATTGCGATTAAAAAAGGTTTCTATATATCTTTTCTTTTTAAACATCAATGATTTAGGAAAAGCTATTTAATTGTTCATCCTTGCGTTCTGTATTAAATATTTACAATGAAAATTTAAGTGGTTTGATAGAAAGTATGGATTTTCGCCATGGTGTATTTCCACGTAAGCGTGTCTCTAGTTGCTAGGTAGCCCAATATTGTTTCCAAACAATCACCGGTTCTATCTGTGATCATCTTAGCCCTAAACTATTTGAACAGCATACGGGACATGTCCACCTTTATAGTTTTATTTATTTGCGTTCGAAAATTCAGTAAAATAATAGTTTACCTCATGCCTCCGAAACTAAGAAAATATCTTGTAAATAGTAGTCCTTTAATGGTAACTCCAATGACTGATAAAGATAAAAACAATCTCCTAGCTCTGTAAATATTGGTTGTCCTTAGACCATTAGACTGTGCTCAAGCTAAACGTGAGCAACAGAGAGTTTCATTTAAGAAGTATTTGTTTAGCACTCTTTGTTGGGTCTGAGATTTAAGTCTGTATAACCACCCGGACCTGAAATGATGTACGCAGAACATATATAGAACTACGTACATCACTTCAGGTCAGACTATATCTATTTCTTTTTCCATCACCAGAATGTGGAACATACTATCATTTCAATCTGATCTAGGCGCTTGTCGTTTCGATCACCATATTCAAGGCAAGTCATATTGTTTGTCTAGTCAAGATGTGGTTTCGATTATCGCAGTCTTGTAAGGCGCAGTAATTCACTGTAAACATGTACATCCCTGAGGGAAGTCAGGATCCGCTAATCGCTAGTTCGAATCATTCCCCTAAAATGCGGTTCATTGCAATTCTCGCATTTGCAATTTGCCTAACGTAATCAGTATTTCAGCCGTAGCAGCGAATTTTAGCTTACATGTATCGAAACGTTTATCGCTTCAGGTAACGACGGGTTCGGTCGGAAGCCGGTTCCACTATTGTCCTTCCAGTAAACATCTCCCAAAGATCATCAGTTTATATCATTGTTTTCTATGTAACGCTGTGTCAGCCTTGACTGTTCACCACCATACTAAGTAGTATATTTCCTGTCTGAATATTGTTTGTTCTTCTTCCTAATAATGCGTGGTTCATATTCATAATATATGTTCAGTCCTAGTTACACGGTGTTTACAATCATTATTCGTTGGTATGGTACATTTGTATCAACTGAATGCGCTACCCTCAGTAAACGATGTCTTTCGACAAATAGGAAAACACAAACGAAAATTATTAGGGACGTGTGAGCTTAACGCTGTTTTGGTGAATATGCCAATTATATCAGACTGTGTCAATATAATGTTGGGGGTGAGTCCGAAGCTATACAAGTCTCAGGCGTTTACCAGTTTGTTGAAGCCAAGGAGCATTTGTGTGGAAGTGTGAAACCTAGGAACAATTATGTAGAACCAGGAGAACCCATAATGATAGTGAGTGAGTGAGTTGAGTTTTACGCCGCACTCAGCAATATTCCAGCTATATGGCGGCGGTCTGTAAATAATCGAGTCTGGACCAGACAATCCAGTGATCAACAGCATGAGCATCGATCTGCATAATTGGGAACCGATGACATGTGTCAACCAAGTCAGCGAGCCTGACCACCCGATCCCGTTAGTCGCCTTTTACGACAAGCATAGTCGCCTTTTATAGCAAGCATGGGTTGCTGAAGGGCTATTCTAATAGACCCGGACCTTCACGGGTCCCATAATGATAGGTTCCTGTAGGGCTTCAGTTGCATCACACGATGTGCTTCAGTGCTTGCAACATAAAGAGTCATCGGGTACCAATGGTATCTTAGACATCAAGGTGAGGTGAAACGAAGTTTAACGTCGTACTTAAGAATATTTCTCTCATATGACGACGTGCATGCGTGTGTGTGTTTGTGTGTGGCTGCATGTACTAGCCAAGACTTAAGCCGGTTTTATAGTGCTAGCCCACTGAAATACCATGCCGCAGTTAAGCATTCATACCCCGCTAAGACACATTATACTGACTCCAAGCCGACCAGTCCCTGCTGTAACCATTAATGCCGAGCGCCAGGCAGGGACCAACAAGTACCATATTTTAACGTCTTTTGGTAAGACGTGACCGGGGATCGAACCCGTGACCTTCCGCTCTCCGCGCGGGCGCTCTAACCATCGTTGACATCAAAATGATATCAGTGACGTATGTAGATGTTTCCGAAAAGTAACTCTTAGTGAAGAATACATGAAACTTTATGAGAAATCTAAAACTCTGGTTGGGGCAAGGATGGCGAATCATGTCACTGCTGGTTTCCTTCCTTGGACAGACGAAAATCAGTTATGACACCAATTGTCCGCGAAAAGGTTTAGCATGTCCTGCTAGAAGCACCCGCCCCTAACTGAATCTGAATGCTGTGCGGTCGGTTCGGGAAAACGTATGGCTATGGTTGGTCGTTATCATTATACCAGCAATATCTCGGCAGTGACAGCAAGAAAAGTCACCTCAAAGAATTTCAGTTGGGGAATTCGACAGAAAGGTACACGGTCGGAGATAATCGATGATATGATGAATTTCACAAACAAACAATAAACATAATTATCATTTAATTAATCTTTAATGTACAATCATATGAAGAAGGAACAACTGATGAAGCTTTTACAAGAAATCAACTGTTAAAGGTCAAATCTAGTGAACATTCTGAGGTGTATAAATACAAATATCACACGTGTCATGTTGACTGTATCACAAAATATATTTTAAGCATAATGTATTTATTGAACTTCCTCACAAAATAATAGGTTTAGGTTTAAAACTAAGATACATTTCAAGAGATATCACACTGAGCTTTTTATCACAATTTGATGAAAAACATAAAAAGTAACAAGTACATCACATTATAGTGAATATCTATCTACACATCAAAATACTGTAAATGACTAAATGACAACAATTTTACGTGAACTAAGAAAATTGTTGCTATCTATTGTGTCGCACAAAAAAATTTGCTCAACTCACGTGATATTATATACGTGGTAAAATGTCGCACAACAAGGTGTATATCTCATCTAAAACATCAATACATCCCTACAATGCAGTATTTGTATTACACAAGTGCCGATCAACTTGTGTTATCATTGATCTGTTTACGCATGTTGTAACCACAGCTAAGTGGATGTGATCAATGCCTTTCTTTATATTCCTGACTCTTTCTTTCTCAACTGACCTGGAACACCTGCAGTTTTTTCGATCACCGGGACTTCAATGGCGACATTCTATACAGTGCACAAGTAGGAGGTTGTTGTGAAACATGCAGCCATACGCTACAGGAGTTGTGCTTATGCGTTTCACTTTCAGGGTTAATCAGTATAAACCAGTTCATTTTCACAGCTGACCAGTCTGATTTAGGATACCTTCAAGATCAAACGGTCTAAACTGGTTCACCTTCACGTAAAACAAGTCTAAACTGGTTCACCTTCACGGATAACAAAGCCTAAACTGCTTCACCTTCACGGATAACCACTCTAAACTAGTTCACCTTCAGTTTTAACAATTCTAAACTAGCACACCTTCTGAAATAGTTTTTGTTCATGGTTAACCAGTCCAAACGGGTTGCCTTTTCACGTGTAACCAGTCTGATATATGGTACCTACTAGTCAAACTATCAAAACCTGTTTACCTTCACGTAGAAGTCTAACCAAGCCCACCGGCGTACCTTCGTGGACCACCAAGTTCACATCCACATTTAACAGGCTAAATGTATTCACCGTGACGTTTGTCTAGCTGCGGTCTGAACATTCTCTGGTTACCGGTCTGAAACATTGCACCTGAGTGATCAACCAATCTCAACTAGTTCACGGTCTAACAGAATCCACTGGTGTGTTGAAATATCAGATTCGCCGCGATTAGTATGTTAACATAACATGCGTGTGAATCCGTGTCTGACAGCGTTATAGATCAATACTTTAAACTTTATGCGATGTTACTAACGTGATGTTGAAAACGGCGTTTTAGTCCCAAATGTGTCACTGAAGCACATAGTAGAAACATATGTATTGCTCGATTGTATATATAATACAGGGTTAAAGAACGGTTTATCTTTGTCAAAAACAAAGGGCATCTAATAGAGTGCATAAAACATTAGAATTTGTGTGCTGTATTTCCAGTGACTAAAAGTAGATATTTCTGTGAAATGTTTGCAAAGTGTTCCTGTGAAGGTTACATATGATGTCCGGTGGCATCCTGAGAAGTGAGATACAATTTGACAGCACTGATAAATTGTTTACGTATGAACCACATTGTATATACTTATGGCGAGAAATAGGGGAACGTATACACGGGAACATTCAAATCACTAATGTTATATCAATGGGCTTTATTGAGGGAAGTAGTATATTCCTGCTGTGTGCTCCCTCGTTTTATCTTCAGTATAGCAATATATTCATTAGGTGGACAATGTTGTATAACAACGTGCATAAATGTTTGGTGACAAATAAATAGAACGTGCAAATTCACTGAAGCTCAATTGGCCGAAAGGCATTTCTCAGAAGTTGACGGATTACAAACCGGTCACAATGTAGAGATAACAGCATGTTTTGTTAAGTGTAATAGGGGAGTTTTATCCATGAATGGTTTCTACCTCGTCATCGATTCAACTACATCAATAATTTCTAGGAAATAATACCATAAATAATTGAAGCCAAATTGACAAACACGAAACAAGTATTTGATCGTTTCTGTACATGTAAAGGTACAAGGGACAAGTTTCAGCTCTGGTACTTATGACAGCCTTTGATCTATTTTTAAATTGTTAACAAACGTTATTAAATTTGTTGTCTCCACGAAACAAAATCCCTGCTGCGGGTCAGCGGTTCCACCGGCTTCAAAGCTGGATTTGTATACAGACGATGTCGATAAAGAGTGGCAGATGGCCATGATATAGCTGACTTTAATAATGTCCTCATTATAGATTTACGTCAGCTTACGTCACTTAAGGCACTTGTGTAGCCATAACACAAAACTGTACAAACTAGTACACAGCAGAACAAAGTCGTTCCATGGTAATACATTACATTTTGTTTGATAAGAAATGTTGAAAAGAGTGTTTGGATTTGCTACGATCAGAATAACCGAATTGTGAGAGAAAAAACTCTCTATTATCAACTCAATAGTTCCATGTTATTGAGCCAAAAGCAATGCCCCTCATCTGCGTAAGGTCAAAAACATGGAAAATTGACACATCCATATTAATACCAATACTCCTGGATCAAATATCATCTTTGATGGCGATACTGCTGATATAACGGAATGTAATTTATGTCTTATGACATGGAACTGTTTTGGGTTGGGTTGGTTGTTTGTTTTAGTCGAGTTCGTTTCAGTGTTGTCGTTTTATACACAAACAATGAAATACCATATTCTATTCACTTACGAGAATCGTCGCGCTGGGCCACAACACATCGTCGGAAAAATAACACATCGCAACCATCAAGATAAGAAAAATTCCAAATATTGAACATAACTTTACCCAGGCATTATATGGACAAGTGGGAGATCTATCAGGCTGCCCCCGCTGCACCTGCCACCTTCGCCCCTCCGCCCATTCCTGCTGTAATAACGGCCTTTATCGCCATTACCAACACAACGGTAGTTACCACAGCGGCAGTACCCCCAAATACAACACCCATGATGAGAGTTTTCTTATTCAGCTTGCTTTGTTTAGGGGTCTTTGATGTTGATACGTCAGGGTTTGTTGGATCCTTAGGATCTGTCGGGTCGGAAGGATTTGATGACTTCGTGGATGTTGTCGGATCTCCAGTTCTGGATGAATCACCCGGATTTGTGGGACCTCCAGGACTGGATGGATCCCTCGGGTTTGGTGGACCTCCAGTACTGGATGGATCCCTCGGATTCGGCGGACCTCCGGAGTACTAGATGAATCACCCGGACTGGATGGATCCCTCGGACCTTTGTGGGACCTCCACTACTGGATGGATCCCTCGATTTGTGGGATCACGAGGACTGGATGGATCCCTCGGATTTGTCGGACCTCCAGTACTAGATGGATCACCCGGATTTGTGGGACCTCCGGTACTGGATGGATCCCTCGGATTTGTCGGACCTCCGGCGGCACTTGACGGAGAACTTGGAGCATCTCCTGGACCTGAAGTGATTCCAGAACTCGTTTGCTGTCCAGGCCTGGGCGGACCTATTTGAATTATTAAATACATGTACAACTCTATAAGTTTAACCATGACCATTTTCAAGAAATATTTTCCTATAATACTTGACTATCATGTTACAATTATTAGTGTGTTGTCAACGCCACAGTCATTACAGCTTTATCACGACGACATGTAACAGAACGTAAAAATCTGTGTGCCGGAGGGTCATCATGTCCGAGTGCCTGTGATCACAAACATTTACACAAGTGCCTGACTACTTCGTGTTCATTTCTACATTGATTACTTGACGGATTTGTTAGAGTGTATAAATCCAACTTGATTATTGTACAAACTTGCAATTTAATTAGTTCAGTTTTTCGTGTACTTACTTGAATTATCTGGTGGTCCTGTTGTCGTCACTTCAGCTGCAACAAACAACATATTTGAAACTATAAACCATAGGCAGTGTTCCTGCTGGTTCCTAATGGTTAAGTGTGAAAATATAATAATTCATACACCCCCTCCAACACAAAACAATCAATGCCGTAAGTATAGCTTGTTTCATATAGGTAAAGTACACACATTTTCCTTAAGTGAGTGAGTGAGTTTAGTTTTACGCCGTACTCGGCATTATTCCAGCTATATGGCGGCGGTCTGTACATAATCGAGTCTGGACCAGACAATCCGGTGATCAACAGCATGAGCATTGATCTACGCAGTTGGGATACGATGACATGTGTCAACCTGACCAGCCGATCTTATGACAAGCATGGGTTACTGAAGATCAATTCTAACCCGGACCTTCAATACAACGTGCTCGCTTCTTCACAGTGTTTCGGTAGGGAAAGCAATGTAGAGAACAGTCAGGCTCGATTCATTGACGAATCATTTACTCCAGTACCCTGGATCGTTGTTCGCAGCTTTGTTCACTGCATTATCTGTAGTAGACTCGAGTGTATCCGGGACGCTTTTCGTAGCCAGGATATTGCCGAATGCAACGTGAGCGCATCATTGACAGTATAGTCGTAAGGCAGGTCTGCTGTCCATGGTGTGGTTGTCGCTCCGCCATTACATTCTTAAAATAAGGAATCATTCCTGTTTTCAATGAAATGGACTTTTCAAATTTTGGCAAAGCCCCAATTGTGTAGCTGACTATTTGGGTACGTGTTACCTTTGAAACCAATTAAAACGTACGTTGCAACGGCACAGTTCAAGTGCAATACGAAGACGTCACAATGCGAAACAATGCGATCTGCTGATCCTCAGTTGTGACGCGTGTCCTTGGATAATATTCACCTGTTAAACTGACGACTGAGAGTTTAATAGACTCGTCTGTGATGGATTTTCAATGGGGCTATCTGATTATATTTGCTTACACTTTAAACCTTCGAATTCATTCCAGATGTATGCTGTCTGTATCAAATCGTTATTGAGACCAAAGAAACGAATTTAAGTTACATGTCTGTAAAACGTTGTTCAAGAACAAAACAGTGTTATATCAATGCGACTCGTCCAAAATATATATCCTGTCCTTGGCTTTGGTGGTCGATCTGTCTGTTGGTAACACTGATACAGTGTACCACTAGGAGAGTATCTGTGTCTAATCCCAGGGATTGGTCATTGTTTGCACAGACGTACCACCCGCCGTACAGTCCGTATGGTCCTATGGCTGTATATGACACAAAAACAGGTGCAGTACAAATACGTATACGTTGTTACTGTCATTGCCAGGCAAGCCACCTTGGAATAGTAAACGTTTCTTTTCAGTCGTCTGTCGTCACTGATCCTAACAGATATTTCCTGGAAGTATTTATTTCCCTCTTAAACTATCACCACATCTACTTATGTTAGTTTCTACCAGTATGTATATATTGGGATCACGTCAATCAAATGAGGCATACACAGCAACATTATAAATAATCGCTAGAGAAAACATGTCTTAAACTAGCTTGTTAAGAACTTTATTGACTCACCATTCTCGGGTGGTTTGGGATTACCGCCTCCTCCTGCAACACAAAATGTCTTACATCAAAGTAATTACCTAACTACAGTGTATAGTAGATATATAATCATGTTTTAATGGATATTTAATTTTTTGTGGGTTTAATACCGCAACTTCCATGTCCATGAAGACGTTACATTTACAATTACACTTACACTGAACAAACTACTATAGGTTGGAAGGTTATTTCAAGTGCGGTATACTCACCTTGGCTGCTGGGCGTCCCTGTTGTGGTTGGTTCACCTCCACTTGCTGTGGTGGTCTCGCCTTGACCCGGCATCGAGAAAATTGATATAGGTTAATATTTTGTTAAAGACACGTCTCTTTGATTTGTTTGTTAGTTTGTTTATTGTTTAACGCCGCAGTCAACAATATTCCAGTTATCTGGCGGCGGACTGTAAATAATCTAGTCTGGACCAGACAATCCAGTGATTGATATCATGAGTATCGACCTACACAATTGGGATACGATGGCAAGCATCAAACGCCTCTTTGAACCAGCATTCCAGTAATATCACGGCGCTTCACATTAACGAGAGAGGAGAGCGCGATATGAAGCAGACGTGATTACTTTGGTGAAACCAATGAGGCAGGGCTATTGCGCAAAGCCAGAAACATAATCAGGGCGAATTGCGGCTCCTTTGATCACTGGATCTCCCGTGACCCAATACTTGCTTGTTGTGGATCAGAGGATCCAAGCATATTTACATTGCTTGTTGTGAGGACCAACATTTTGATTATAGCCAGATTGCTGAGTATTTATCAGCTGGGGTCTGTCAGGACCAAAGTCACTGGGCGAGCGGTACACAACAAAGGGCAACAGAACAAGAATTTATGCCTGGCAGTCATAGTGAGCCCTTAAGATTTCAGACCTCCCCACAAAATCTCTGCGTAGTTCGGATGACGTTCGTAATGACGCATCCAGACACGTCAACGAATATCTTTTCTCATAATTGATAGTTTTTTATTTCCTGCTTCCCCTGTTACAGAAAAGGCCGTAGAGCCAGGGAACTCTAAGGTTCTTTGCAAGACAAGTTCATTGATAACAGGAAAAACAGGATTTTTTTCTAACAAAGCACAAAACAACAAAACACCAGACACCACAACACATTCACTCACCAATCACACTTACAAGCTTCAGAATATTTACAGTAAGTTTAAGTTCAGTTCATTCAGCCTATATTTTTCATTTGGGAACAAGAAGAAAGAATTCAGAAAATCATTTAAAATTTGCAAAATCATGATATAACATTCACTTTTTATAAAATTTATCTTGTTCACTTTTAATGAAGGATATATTCTTTTCAATAAAATACCTATGTTGAAAATATTGTCTAAAATGTTTAAAATTAAGAGTAGGTTTTAATACCTTACATTTATATATGAAGAATTTAGCTAACAACAATATTAAATCAAACACATCATCAGTATATACATTTGATCTCATTCCAAACACAGTAACTTGCAGGTCCAATTTCATGTTGTGAACATGTTGACATTTATCATTCAGTAATTATAGAAAACATTTCCAAAAAAGCTTGCACATGTTCACAATACCAAAACAAGTGGGGGATTGTTTCAACCTCACATTGACAAAAGGTACATTAGTTGCTTTCAGCTAATTTGATCTTAAATAAAACTGGATTAGTTGATAGAATGCCATGTATAATCCTGAACTGAAACCATTGAAGTTTAGTATCCCTTGTAGTCTTTAAAGGTTTTAAAAATATTTTTTCCCATTCAAGTTCAGCAAGCATACAATCCTCCCACTCATTCATGAATTTTAAGTTTACATCAGATGCAGTCAAAACACAGTAATAACACTTGGCTCCCCTCTTAACAGACATCAGTTTTCGATTAACTGTATTACCATCTAACTGCTCAAAAGAAGTAGATTTCAGCAATAACAGATGAAGGAAGTTTATAGGCAGTATTGAGAAGTGTAATAGGTCTCCCGTTTTTCAAAAGACGCTTGGGCTTACCTCCTTTTTGAATATAGGTAATGATACCTTGTCTCTGAGTGACTGGCAGGTAACCTTAGCAAAGCCATAATTAAAGACCTTAACAAGAAAGAGGATAAACCTTTCCAATTTCTTTTTATAAAACTCATACGTGAACCCATCCGAACCTAGACTTTTATTATTTTTGGCCTTCTTCAGAAATTTTAGAAGTTCATCATAAGTTGTTGGACCTTATAATGAGTTCGGTTTTTCTTTATTGAGCCTACACAAATCTTCCTCTAAAAAAAATCATCAAGGTTACAATCTTTCAAGACATGCTCCTTGGAAGAGTACAATTTTTCATAAAAAGACTTTGTTTGTAGTCTCTAGAATAGACCCATCTTCCAGCTCCAACTGAGACATACCCTTATTCACAAATTCCTGTTTTCTAGATTGCAAAAAAAACAACTAACCTTCTCCCCTTCGTCTATCCACTTAGCTCTTGAGCGAATAATAATGCCATTCATCTTAGCTTTGCGAATCTCCTCTAATTCTGTCCTTTTTCATTCCAGATCCTTACAATCTCATAAGTTGGTTTCTAAACGTTTTATGTCATCTAATAAATCTTGTTCTTTTTTAGATTTAGTTTTTCTCAAAAATTAAGAATATGAAATAGACATTCCCCTGATTTCCATTAGAAGAGTTTCCAAAAACAACTGATAATTAACAGAAAAATCAATTTCACACAAGTTGACCTCACCAATATCACTATCATGATCCAATGAAGGAGCATATTGTCTGACAACATTACTAATGGTTTCCTTAACAGATAAAACATATTTAGAATCCCTTAATAGTGAATTGTTGAATTTCCAATATGTACTTTTATGATCATCATTTTCAGAGAATTACATTTTAATGTCAGTAAGCGAATGGTCTGTTCTGTAGCCAACATTTATAGAAGACTGACAAATAAATGAATATAAATTCTGAGACACCAGGAAGAAACATAGCCTTGCTTGTCTAATGGGATTAGGACGCCTCCATGTATAGCTGTGTACTTCTGGGTTATGGTCTCTCCAAACATCTACCAGGTCAATATCCCCAATCATCTCAATCACTTGCTTTCTAGCATTAGGGTCGTTAATATGTTGATAATTAAAAGTATCCAAAGACTGTTGTAAACACAAATTAACATCCCCAGCTATAATGCAATGAGAGTTTCAAAGGCTTTGATTCTATCCATCACCCTGGCATAAAATTCAGGTTCATCCGCATTTGGACCATATATATTGACTAGTCATCTTTTTCTCACATATAGTAATACTCAACATCAAAAGATTGCCCATGTCATCCCTAAAAGAATCATGTATCTTGTAATCGATATTATTAGAAAACATGATGGCAACTCCTCTTGACTGCCCGTTATTACTATTAAATAGTACATCAGGGCCCAATTCACTTCTAATAAAAGGTTCCATTTCTTTCAAAAAGTGGGTATCTTGCACAAAATAGATATCAACGAATATCGATAGTGAATCTGGTCTCCTCTGAAATCATTCCATGCCGTCATCAGCCATTGCCCCTAATTAGTACGCTTTAAAACCCACCGGTGGGATGAGTTGTTCACGGTGGTTCAACTGGGGGTTAGCGATGGGAGATGGGAAATTCAGAACCTGAGGAAATGCAGACTTGGTTCATTCTGGCTTTAGCATTGTAGAAAGAGCTGGGCGGAAGGAAAAGTAATGCGGTGAGGGATTGTGAGACAGATTATGGTGGATCATGTCAGTCTACTGGGAAACACAAGTCAAGCACACTATGACAAAGGAACCTGGCACCTACTGGTGAATCTCGTTAATTTGGGTTGTTGACTTATGCTCAACCCCTGGACAAGGTTTCTTTTTGCTTTTGTAAGTGACGATTGTTGCCTCTTCAGGAACAATGCCCCTCTGAAATTCAGACTTAGTAAGTTGGAATCTGTATGAACTATATATTTGTGCAAATTGACTCACCACCGCCTGGTTTGGCCTCGCCACCTCTTCCTGCAAAAGAAAGTCCTTTTTCTTTAACCTGTAATCTAAGCAACTAAATAACTACAGTGTATTGGCACATTCATGGTTGAACTAATACTTAATATTCCTTTCAAGTTAAATCAGGCACCTCCACCCAAAAGAAGATTGTTTTCACAATCAACACTTACACTAGACAAAGGATAAAAAGGGTTGAAGGTTATTTCATGAGTGATGTACTCACCTGATCCTCCTGACGTTGTGGTTGACCCATCACCACTTGTTGTGGTCGCCTCGCCTCGACCTTCCAAAGAAATAAATCGAAATAAGTAAACTTACAGGGAAAACAGATTGAGCCAAATTTATCATTGCGTTGTTTCGGATATTGTAAAAAAGATACTAATCAAAGAGGAAGGTATGTCAAAGTGAGTGAGATGTGTTTTCGAATTGTATTACAAAACTATATGATCTGTGTTTGGAATGATAGTGGAACACGTTTTATCTGAACCACTATATTGTTAAGTGATTTCTGAAAAGTCCCTTCAGCCAAAGACTATACTCACTTCGACATAGCTCACACTGAACAAATGTCGCCATCATTTAGCAGACGATGTAAAGGTGTTACATCCGTGTTCATATTGCATTTATAGCCAACATATTGGTACTTCGTTTTCAATGTGGGGCATGTCAAGGCCAATGTTGCCGGTAATTATGTAGGTATGACAAAGAGACAAATGAGATTGATATGTACGTAAATAGATTGTCCCATCCGATTTTATGTGTCACTGTGATGAATGATGATGGGGACCCGACTGACATGTGACATATATACAGCGTATTTGGACACTTGGTGTATAATTATTAGATCCAGTTGAAAAGAACATACTAAGTAAGTGGTTTTTGTCCGGATCGGCAAATAACAATATTTAGAGCTTCTGAGGAGACAAGCTCATAACTTACAGCTTCGATTTCAGTCTCAAAATCTGTGTTTGGGTAACCTGGTACATACTGGAATTTGGCCATCGTACTATGTTGAAAGGTTAAACTCGTGTGCATATATATCTTTTTAGCCAATTTACACAGGATTGCTGGCTCTTTTCAGGTAGGGGAATGTCAAGTTTAAGGTCATCTATGGCAAACGGACACCAACAATCGATCTTAATAAAAATTCTAAAACGTATAATACCATTAAGGTTATATTATGCAGAAATCAAATCAAGATATGCGGCCTCACGGGTGTCATCGATTCAGCTGTTTTGTTATGGTGTTTGTGTCCACTATCCAATGTACAAAACATTCGGTAAAACTTTGAGTGATGAGTTTGGCCTGGAATAGACAAATGACTACATTTTGAGCTTCTGAAGACGGCTTCAGTTATATCATCTTTGTATCATTATGGAGCCAATGTACTTGCTTGGGATGATATTTACTTTTCTAGGGCTATTCAGAGTGAACTCTCTTCAGTTCATTCCTTCGGACGAACTTACTGAGTTAACCCCGTTACACCCTTTACCATTTATACTCCAGTAACAGAAATACAAAGTGCCATCGTGTGATGGTAATGGTGGTGTCGACGCTGCTTTGGGCGAATCATCCTTAAGTATTTTCAACATCGATCCTTAAGTATTTTCAACATCGATTTATTAAAGACACCTCCTAGTACATGTGTCCTATAAAAGCGGGTTGATGAACACTTTCCAAAATTTACTAGTTTCCCGCTGGAGAAAGTTCATGCTGTGTCTAGTAGTACAGGGTTGTGCATTATCCTGAAGCAAAATGTGAAGATCTGCCGCCATGCTTTTGTCAGTACATCCGCTGCATACGTTTGAGCTGTAACTCGACCACAACACATGTGTAGATGTGTCTCGTCCTGACTACCAACCCCTCCCCAAATCATAACGCCTTCCCCAACCCAGCGGTTCAGCTGCTGAACCCAGCAACCAGCGGTTCAGCTGCTGAACTCAGCAAATCTGTAGCGTTACTTTTGCTGATCCACGTCGACAGTTGATAAACGTGGCATTTCCTTAAATTAGTGAGTAAAGTCAGCAATTTAGTGCTGTTCAAAATTTCGGTGTGATCTTTTTTACACAGATGAATTATCTGTCAATGTGTTGTGGAACCGCATTTTCACGCGATTTGCCGGTGAAAAGGTGATTTTCAGCAAATAGTGGGTCACGTCATCACACAGGGATGCACGTGCTTTTCGGTGTGCACCACGTTTTTCTGTCATAGTCAGATTCCATCAAGCATAGTTTTGGCTCAACATTCGTTTTACATATTCCCTGATCAATTATAATAGGGTGATGCGTTGCTAAAGTAGTTCAGTATAGTTAGTAATACAAGTGTGATCTTGCATACACCATCATCTATTCCTTTTCTGTCTCTGTCTCTGTCTACAAACTAGTAGATTACACAAACAATGTATAACCGCGTCTGTTAACAATGGTATCTTTGGCGTAAAGTCCAGTCCTGATTTCATTGGGTAAATGTGTGATATCATCATCGTGTGTAACGTCGTGGCCAGATCGATTCCCTATCTGTGCGTCTGTTTCCCATTACATCAATGTGCCAATGAGTCCAACAAATTTTGTACATGTTCTGATGAACTTGTACTAGAGTATTCTGTTAACAAATAGAGAAGAACCATGAACATAGCGCTACTGTTTCTCATCTATTCTCACCCTTGCGTTAATAATATTGTCTGTGGTGCGACATCTGGCGACGAGGGGAGCATATAATGAAGACGTGCTGTTACTATTTATAGCACATATCCGGACATTCCTTAACATGCAGTTTTGCTTATCTTGACCTGAACGCCCATTCAATAACAACTCATTACGACTCTAATCCCACGCCTTGTCAATGCCAATAATCTAATAGCACTATGTGTAGTCAATAAAGGACTGTGTTTATCATAATTTAATTCCGCAGGTTTGCACTAATTTACTGGAAATACATCCGACTACACCCCAGCCCAGCCGATCCCTGAAATGTCTTACCGTGATAACATTGTTCCAGTTTAAAACTGTGGGCGTCTATCCACTGAGGATATAGGAAACAGCTGTTTCATTAGAAGGTGTAGTTTTTACCATGATGACTCGCTCTGTATCAGTGTATAGACGTATTGTCATCAGACAGTTTAATGGACATTGAAAGGTGTACCTAATCTACTACAGGTCATTACTCGCCACCTAAATGTTCCCGTCACCTGTTCGCTAAGATCCGCCAGGTGTAACAATGATGAACTCTTTTCGGGCACGTATAACTAACTTTCAGCAAGGAGAAAAAGAAATATAAAACCATGGTATCCCTTTAATTCAACATATAAACATGCATTAGACAGTTAAATGTTATCTCTGATGAAGGTTGTCAAAAGGGTATTATTGCAGCAATGTGTGTCTGAAGGGGAAAGAATGACTGTTTTCATGGAATACAATTATCATCACCGTGTCATTTCTGAAAGTTTCAAGGATTATGTACTCGTTCATCGAGCTTATCAGTCATTATACACTATCCATAAAATTCCATCAACTGCATTCACCCGAAGATGAAAATAATACTCCAAAATTGTGACAGATGTTGTTGGTTATTTTTTTCCTTAAACATATTTGGGTTCGTAGTTTTAATTAAAGAGATGTCTGAATTTACGATTTTACAAATGTGAAGCCTCTTTACAAAGTCCCTGTCGCCCACCAGAATATTTTCAAATGGTCGGTCTCTTGGAACGTCATTACTGATATCTGTGACGTAATAATAACAGCAACAGGAATATAGGGCGTCATGGAAATGATAATTATGAATTTCTTTGGAATAGAACCACAGAAAATCTCCAGATTATCCAGGCCAACATACCTGACCTTGTCTTTTTTTATGTATCCAAGGAGATCATCTGTATGATAGGGCCCTTAAGTCTCGAGAGACGCTACTTCCGGTAATAGATTTCCGGTGATAGGCATGCATTAAGAAAACAGCCCTGGTTCCAAATTGCGCGACCGCAAAATATTCACTAGACAAAGTGGACAAACTGACAGACTGGGCAAAGTGTACTACCAAGCTTTCCTGCACAACTGTTAACACATTTACACGTGCTATTCATGCAACATAGTCTCGGTGTTTTTGTAGCCTGTTGCATGTCATAGTTTTCTGAGTCAACGGCGTGTGTCGAGTACGATTAGCCATTACATGCCCCTTGTAACAGTGCAATCGCCATTGCCGTAAAACGTTTGTCACCGAAAGTACAAAAGTCTCGCAAAGTGCTGTGACCCACTTACGGGCCCCATTGACCAGTATTTGACACTAATGTGATTAACAAAATTCAGAACATTCTGTCAAATATATTGACCTCGCTTACGAATTGCCTTAGGTTTGGTACCTTCCATTCTCTTGAAAGACATAAGGAGGGTCTTGCTGCCAGGGACAAAGCCCTCCAGACATAAACGCTGATGCCGAAGGCCGCATTGTTGGTTGAATGTGTTTCATTATCCCAAAAGGTTTTGGTGGGTTCGACTATTCTTGATAAAAGTCCCATGCGCTGTCTGGGCTGCGTGTAAATCCTGTTTATAATGTGACATATTCTTTTTAACGAGTGAGTACTGGTGACAGTACATTTGCATAACCCCCGACAAGACTGACGTACGTGTGTCAGCATTGACTTACAGTGGTCATTTCATGTAGTTTTCACAGTTATTTTGCCCATTAGGGAACTTGTTTCGGTGGATTTATTCTCTTGCATTGACTTTATATATATTTATGTAAATCAATATGAATTCTGATCTTATTACCAGGTTTACATTCAACCGGGTACCCATTCCCTGATGGCTGAATAGAGCAACGTTTTGTCAAGACGCCAAAAACGAAAACAAATCCATTAAGTTCGTCCGCTTTTATTTAACTTCACTTTCGCCTGATTTTTGACGTGTGTGCAATGCACGGGACATCTCGCCAACACGAACCAATGACAAACAAGACGTCTTCCAGTAAAAATAGCAGGGACAAAGTCACAACAATATCTGACTGACTGAGTGACTGAGTTTGGTTTTACACCGCTTTTAGCAATATTCCAGAAACATCAAGGCGGGCTTCACACATTGTACCCATGTGGGGATTCGAACCCGGGTCTTCGGCGTGACGAGCCAACGTTTTAACCACTATGCTACCCCACCGCCCCACAACAATATCTGAAGCAAATAGTGTCACTATTGTCACAGTACAAATCATTTGTTTGTTTGTTTGTTTACTGAATATCTGACACCTCAAACAACGTGACAAACCAACCGAATCTGTGACCAGGGGTTCAAGAGTGAGTTCTAAAGGTCACGTACTGGCGACCAGTTCTGACCTTCCAAGAGAATTGAACAATTACAATTCGTGTTAAGTTCTCAAAAAGCCTATGGCGCAGATCCCTACTACTGTTCATCATTCGTCACTGACAGTCTGAAACTTTCTCCATATCTTTGATACAACCTGTTTAAATGCATTGACATCGTTTCTCTTGATTCTAGAAGGGCGTATTTGACAAAGAAATTGTTGTAGGCCTTAAAAGATGGTCCCGATGATGTGAATATGTTGATACTGCAGATATCAGAAATATGCAAGCTGTTAATAGGATATAATATCGGAGACCAATGATGACAAGTAGTAGGGCGCCAGGTCAGCTAGACCACTGCATTTTAAAAATGATTATAGTGGGCCAAATGTGACCATCATGCATCAGCAATATATAAAATGTTCAGCAATGGGATCGAACCTAATATCCTAAATAAAATGTTGCTCTAGCTTCTGTGTGTCTGATTTTCTTTAAAGGGAGACATGATCTAAACATTTCAATTACCTTACGTCTGTGGGATAATTAAGGGTTGAAAATATATAAAATAAATAATGTATATAGACATTTCTCGTTTGGATTTACTCATAATTACCTGTAGCGTCAACTAGAGCTGTCAAAGACGCAGCCACCATCAGTAGTGGAACTTGAATCTTCATTTCAGCCCAACTAAATGTTGATAGTGAACTCCTTCAAGACGGATAAAACCAGTTCTGGCTGACAGCCACCCCCAGCTAACTAACTCACCGTAGACTGTGACGGGCGCTGCTAAGCTCACAATTATATTGTGTCCCGGTGTACATTGTCTTATCCTTGTTTTATTCTTCTTTGTTAGCGAATTTGGCCTCTGCAATGGTTGTCTCCCTTAGCCAATATTATTACGGTAACTGTAATCATTTGACAAATGCTACCTATGTTGTTTTACTTAAGCTGAGCAGGTTTGACGGGTGACATGATTTGCATCTCCTCTTCGCTTGTTTGGTGCCTGCACTTGTACAATGTTGAATGAGTGTATGGATATGTTGCTGTGTATAGCATACAGGCAGGTAGCTTTTGAGATGCAACACGTTATAGTTGGGATGACACTTTCTAAGCTTTTTAGATCGTGCATCCATGGCGACAGCCTCGGTGCTGAAGTAGTCAGTCAATACATTGTCTTCACAATACCAAACGGCGGCAAATCGATTGAATGCCTGAAGAATTAACTTTTTGATAATTATACCCGTAAAGCATATGCGTGTAGAGTGCACGTTTGCTTTTGTTCAGTTTGTCATGAGGGTATAAACAGCATGGTCTCCGATTAGGAGTACTGCCTCCTGTTTGTGGAGTAGAGATCCTGACAGACGGTGTGGACAGTGTGGTGTTGATTCTTTGTAGGACTGTCTGGAGACTGGATTTGGGGTTGAGCAGAGACTCTCACGGAATGCCTGGACTCTGACTAACGGCCTGGACGCTAACGGAGTGGAAATCTCCATGCCAAATATGTTAAACATGCCACAGACAGTATTTCAGCGGTATTGAAAAACATCTAGATTTGGACATTCAGCACAAGTGAAAAATTAAAAATGAAATATTGAGAAGCCGGTGACAACGTTTTCTGGGTTTACTGTGATCTGAAGGACGGGCGACAGTCAAACCTCCACACTGATTATCTGATGGTGAGCTGACAGGTGCGCGAGAGGGATGGTCTTTAGTGTATTCCCAGTACAAAGACCCAAGTGGGAACCCTCATAGTTTGGACAACTCGATGTATCCCTAATAATACTATATGATATTTCATTTCAATTTGATGAAATAATAACAACAGAACGACGATATAGTTTTGATGATGAAAGCCTAGAGCAAAGAAACGTATAAGCAGGTGAACCAGGACTTGAACCTGCAATCACAGGTTTCTGAAGTGGCGCAGCTCTCCACAACGAAATCGCCTTTGACGACTGTGTCACCCGTACAACCCACTTCCCCGACACAAGACAGCTGCTAACCCGACTTTTGGGTTATGTTATCTGTATGCTTGTTGTTTAACACTGAGCCATACGACAGATGTAAAATTTATGACTGTAAATTGTGAAAAAGTAGTCTGAACCAGACAACCTAGTGATTGATATTATTAGCGACGGCCCACCCGGTGGACGTACGATAGCAAACATTCAACCAAGTTAAAATTTACCATTCGATCCAATAGGTCATGAACACCGAGACTGGGCAAAATACCAATACATGTTGTACATTGTAAAGGTCGGTTTGGTTTCAGTCTGTAACGTTTAAACAGACATGACCACAGTTTAGGTCAGAAACGTAACTTGTCGTTTCGTCTTAAATATTACTAATCGAAAGGAGTCGCCCAATTCCAGTGCCATAAAAGAATTAATCCAGGACATCGTGACCCGGAGCGTATATATTATATTACGGAATTCTTATTGATCTGTGGCGGTGTCTTAAGGTAATAAGTATAATTGCTCTCATCTACAGTTGCATAGATGATGGTGTTTTATCGGTTTATTGTTTTTAAACATGCTGTCTACCTTTCAGTACTTAGACATATCTACACGTGACACGCATGTAAGCACAGAGACAAAGAGAATGGATGTTTTCGCTGTCTTTTGACAAAACACGTGGGAATTCATAATGGTGAAACACCAAAGTACCTGCAGAACTAGTATATATCAGGCAGACACTATTATAAGTTCGAGATATCCCCCAGAGGTTAAATCGTATGAGAACCGTTGTTGTCTTTTGTAGTCGTTGACACTTTCCACCTGTGACACAGACCCCCGCATATGTTCCGAGTCAACAAGCAGATCAATAACGCAAAAAGTGCTACTAGGGCATCGGGTAAACACGTTGGTAATTTCATTTCAATTTAAAGATGGCACGGTGTTAAGAAATGTGTTGGGGTCTGAACGCGGATTACCAGAATACATTTTCAGATATGACTCTTAAATACGGATAGAATGTGTGGAAATACTCGCGAGTGATGCAAAGAAATAGTCAAGCTTTGCCATGATAACCTCACCTATATGGTGAATTCTTATATTTTCGAGCGATAGCTTGTACATAATTTTTTACAAGAGTTTCATAAAATATGTCTGACACACATGCGAATGTGATAGTCTCCTTTTTACCCATTAAAATGTAATGATCACGACCGCGGTCTTAGAAAATCGAATACCTGAATGAACAACAAAATCTCAGCAGTGACGTCGTGTGTGTCGTCCGGCAAAATGAAATGAACCATAATTTAGTACCTTCTCGGCAGGCCGTACCAGCCAAACTATCAAACTGTATTGTGGTGCGAGCACGCGGATTCTACACGTATATATGCAGAGTCAAGGATGCCCGCTCCCTTTCAACCATCATCAGAGAAGCTGCGGTACAGTGATATAATGGGTGGGTCTTTTTCGGATAAAGTCCATACAGCCTAAAGAAAAGGAAATGGGTCTGTCCATATTGTTGGGGATACAACTTTTTCGTTTATCCTTGACCTTGAATATGACCTGCATGATCAGATGACCGCCATAATCAGTCAAGTTGTGAACGACCCCTGGAATCCTTCCCGTGAACTTGTAATTGATGTTACAAACACTATATATGGGCAGCCCCTCGAAAGTGTCCCGTCACGTGACAGTGGTCCCTCACCCAATCTTGCCCCAGGTCTTCCTTACAGATATAGCAATGGATTGCCTTTTAAAACTTTTGCCAATCTTGTCCTGTCATATCATAGGTTCGACCATCTTGATTGTTTTCTCGATATCATCCTGCTTTCGCCCCAGAGAACACAGAGAAACAAAAGCAGGCTAAGAATGACTTCGAAAAGGATTTTTACAAATTGCTGAAAAAACATTGAGGATTTGAGAAAGCGAGTAGATGTGAAGCTGATACAAGACCAGAAACAAGCCCTAAAACCGATCGCCAAACCTTCCTTTCAAGCGTTCAAAATTTTCAACGAGACTTGGTGGCCATTCACATGTTAAAGCAACGGTTATATCTCAACGGACCCATCTACTTTGGTTTTGCTATATTAGACATTTCCAAAATTACCATGTACGAGTTTCACTATATCTATATAAAACCAAATTATGGCCCCCAAAGTCAGCTTCTGTTCACGGACACTGATTCACTCTGTTACTCTATTCGAACGAGGGACATCTATAAAGATATGAGGAGAGACCATCCACTCTACAGCTCTCAAAACAAGAAGGTTTTAGGAAAAATGAAAGATGAGACCATGGCGTCCCCATTCAAGAGTTTGTCGACTTGAAATAAAACATGCATTCGCTTATCTATGAAGAGAAGGGAACGTTGGTGGACAAGAAGACAGCAAAGGGCAACAGGGAAAATGTGATCAAAACCAAAACACCTCACGATCACTTTGAACAGTGTATGTTTGAGAGACATATTCATATGAAGGCTAGGTGTCCCAGATTAGGAGCGATGGACATGAGCTAATCAACATTCAGCTCAAGCAGCAGCAGCAGCAGCAGCAGCAGCAGACGTAACAGCAGACGCAACAGCAGAGGCAGCAGTAGACGCAGCGGCAACAGCAACCGAAAGTGGAGACTGTACTGAATGAAGACCAGAGGAAAAGGACCTTTATAAAACATTGCGTTAAATGGTTTCACTGGCCTAAGAAATTCAATTCCTGGATTAAAGCGTCCGATGTTGTGTAATGTTGCTATTGTGCATAGATATATTTCTTTAATCTATTGTCAGAGTGAACGCGGGATAGATCCCCGACCCGCCCGGCCTAGTAATAGATACCCCAATGATTTCTTGTCCAGAAAGAACGTATAAATATCTGTGTCATTCCCCAACGCATAACATGTCCCATAATATCCAACATCGGATGACGGGATTTAAAACTTGGCAAACGCTGATTGGTCCAAAACGATCAAAACGCTCGTGTGGTGTCGGGCCAGGACGCAAGCATTCAATGCCAGTGGTGGTCTGGTGGCACGCACTCAGCCAGCACTTTAAAAAACGATGACGTCACACCTGAAGTGCCATCCCGAAAGGAGAGAAGGGGATGACAAAAAAATGCCATAGACTTAACATGTTCTCGTACTGTCATTTCTACCACAACTGACAGGACTAGGCTTTTATAGTGATTGCATATGATTACAGTAAGAGTTTGGTCGCTTCTATGTTTATAGTCTCCCGCGACCGGTTCACAATGAAAACGCATCTGATCAAGCTACTGTCATGACAGCGCAGTTAGCACTTGGAAGATTAAAAAATAATTGCATTTTTGAAACCATTTCTGAAGTGGAAGACAAACTGTAGATTGTGACAAGCAAAGTATGTATTATGGAGACGAGCGACTTATAATTCCTCTTAATGTCTACCACAAAATAGAAAATACATTTCACTAATATATTACACTCTTTAGGTTGAGATGTTGATCTTTTGACAGACATCGTTACATATACACCAGGCACCGACTATTTTGAGGCACGATTAACCAATATCGAGACCATGAATAGCACATAAACCGATAAAAATATCGTTACGATTTGGTGTTTGTGAACTACACAATCCCATTCAATCCTGTTATTTTATATAATAACAAAGAAGAAGAAGTTTATTCGTATTATACGAATATAATAACAAAATATGTACACTAAGAGTATTTAAACTACAACAAGGGTACCTCAAAATATAAAATTCAGTACCGAACCGTGCTTCCGTGGCAAAAATTAAGTAGAAAATTAAAATCAAACATTTTTCATCGTCAACATGCTCCGTACAAACTCACGCTATAATATAACAACTGTTGTGAAGGAACTATTTGTGTGTTCGAAAGGAAATGTAACTTGTCACCAGCAGAGTTAGACCTTCATATT